GGGGTGTGACGGGGCGGGGTTTGGGGATGCAGATTAAGGGGCGTGGCCAACGCGCAGGTGTTCGGGGTGGGCGTGGCTTTGGGCTGTACCTGCCTTTGGGGCGGGGTTTAAAGTGTTAATGGGCGTGGCGTCTCATTTTGGGGGTGGGGTTTGCGTCAATTGGGGTGTGGTCTCTGGGGGCGGGGATTCCACCACGCGTGGGTGTGGCCTCATTTGGGGGCGTGGTTTCCATGGTTTTGGGAGTGCTTTCTGTATTTTGGGGGAGTGGCTTCTGTCACTCATGGGCGTGGTCATACCTTATATGGACATGTCCTCTGTCTCAATGGGCGTGTCCCCACCCTCCTCGCACGCTGATTGGCCCGTTCCACTCCCCGTGGGCGTGGTCTCAGTGTTTTGGGGCGTGGTTTCCGCCACTCACGGGTGTGGTTTCATTTGGGGGCGTGGTTTCCATGTTTTGGGGTGGGGTTTGTGTCACTCAGGGGCGTGGTCTCAATGTTTGGGGCATGGTTTCTGCCACTCATGGGCGTGGCCATACCATATATGGACATACCCTCTCCCCTGAGTGGGCGTGTCCCCGCCCTTCTCGCACGGTGATTGGCCCTTTTTCCCCGTTGTGGGCGTGGCCTCGGTGACTCAGCTCCGCCATGATGGCGGCGGCCGCTCCCGCCCGGGCCTGACGCGGCTTCCGGCGGCGATGGCGGCGGCGGCGGCGGCGGCCCCGGGCCCGGGCCCGGCCGAGGCTCCCGCGGCCGCTCCGGAGCTCAAGAGCCGCTTCCGTACCCGTGAGGGCTCGTACCGCCTGCTGGGCCCCGCCACCGCCGCCGCCGCCGCCGCCGCCGCCTCCTCCGCCGGGCCCGCCCAGGCCGGGCCCGCCCCGCCGGGCCCCGGGACGCTGCCGCCGGTTCGGCTCTCGATGGTTCGGCTGGCGCGGAGCCGGAGCCCTCCCGGAGGAGCCGCCGAGCGGAGCCGCGTGTGCTGCAACCTCGGCCGGGAGCTGCATTTCTATGGAGGGGCTGGAAGCGGGGGACGCGGCAGCCGCAGGGTAACGGGGAGAACCGGGGGAGGACCGGGGAGAACCGGGGGAGGACCGGGGGTTTGGGGGTGATGGGGGGAACGGGGGAAAAGGTGACCCCAGGGCTGGTGACAGTGACCCCAAATTTGGTGACAGTGACCCCAAGGTTGGTGACAGTGACTCCAGGGCTGGTGGCAGTGACCCCGATGTTGGTGGCAGTGACCTCAGGGTTGGTGGCAGTGACCTCAGGGCTGGTGACAGTGACCCCAAGTTTGGTGACAGTGACCCCAAGGTTGGTGACAGTGACCCCAGAGCTGGTGACAGTGACCCCGATGTTGATGACAGTGACCTCAGGGTTGGTGGCAGTGACCCCGATGTTGGTGGCAGTGACCTCAGGGTTGGTGACAGTGACCTCAGACCCCCCAGGACCCTCCGGCCATCCCCAGTGATGGTGACCCAGGGTGGGCACAGAGTCCCTGGGGAGTGCTGGGGGTGACACCCTCTGGCAGTGCCGGTGACAGTGATGGTGACAGTGACAGTGATGGTGACAGTGGCAGTGCCACCGTGCCAGTGCCCCGGTGTCCCCGGTGTCCCCGCAGTCCCTGGACCTGCAGCGCCCCATTGACAAACGCGTCTACAAGGGCACCCAGCCCACGTGCCACGACTTCAACCAGTTCACGGCGGGCACCGAGACCCTGGCGCTGCTCGTGGGATTCTCGGCCGGCCAGGTGCAGTACCTGGACCTGGCCAAGAAGGACAGCGCTGGCCGGCTCTTCAACGAGGAGGTGAGGGGACACCGGGGACACCTGGGACACCTTGGGGCCTCTAGGAACCCCTTTGGGACACCGGGGACACCTTGGGGACACTGCGGACACCTCGGGACCACCGGCATCCCCCTGGGGCTAGCAGGGCCACCAGGAACCCCTTGGGAACACTGGGGCCACCTTGGGACCACTAGGAACCCTCTGGGGACACCGGGGACACCCTGGGGCCACCAAGGCCACCAGGACCCCCTTGAGATCACCCGTGGGACCACCAGGACCTGCCCAGGGCCACCAGGACCCCCTTGAGATCACCCTTGGGACCACCAGGACTCCCCCAGGGCCACCAGGAACCCCTTGAAATCACCCGTGGGACCACCAGGACCTGCCCAGGGCCACCAGGACCCCCTTGAGATCACCCATGGGACCACCAGGACCTGCCCAGGGCCACCAGGACCCCCTTGAGATCGCCCGTGGGACCACCAGGACTCCCCCAGGGCCACCAAGACCCCCTTGAAATCACCCGTGGGACCACCAGAAACCCCTTGGGATGACTCACGGGACCACCAGGACCCCCTTGGCCACCCTTTTAACCCTTTATCCGCCATCCCCCGCAGCGCCTCATCGACAAATCCAAGGTCACCTTGGTCAAGTGGCTACCGGACACCGAGCGCCTGTTCCTGGCGTCCCACGCCAGCGGCCACCTGTACCTGTACGACTCGGAGCAACCCTGCGGGGCCACCAGCCCTCAGTACACGCTGGTCACGCAGGGCGAGGGCTTCAGGGTCTTCTCGTGCAAGAGCAAAACCCCCCGGAACCCTCTGCTCAAGTGGGCCGTGGGCTCGGGGCCACTGAACGAGTTCGCCTTCTCGCCGGACGGGCGCTCGCTGGCGTGCGTCAGCCAGGACGGGGTGCTCAGGGTGTTCCACTTCTCGTCCATGCTGCTGCAGGGGATGATGAGGAGCTATTTTGGGGGGCTCCTCTGCGTCTGCTGGAGCCCCGACGGCCGCTACGTGGTCACCGGAGGCGAGGACGACCTGGTCACCGTGTGGTCGTTCGCCGAGGGCCGCGTGGTTGCCCGCGGTCACGGCCACAAGTCGTGGGTCAACGCCGTGGCTTTCGATCCTTTCACTCCTCCGCCTCCTCCTGCCGAGGCCGGCGGTGGGGACGGGCAGGGGGACACCCCCGAGGACCCCGCCACCCCCCCGAGTGTCACCTACCGCTTCGGCTCGGCCGGCCAGGACACGCAGTTCTGCCTGTGGGACCTCACCGAGGACGTGCTGGACCCTCGGCCGCCCCCTCCCCGAGCCCGCCCCACCCCCGGAGACCCCCCGCCCTCCATCTCCATCCCCGGGGGGCTGCCGCGATCGCTGTCGCGCTCCAACAGCCTCCCCCAACCCGGCGGGGGTCCCCAAATCTCTCCCCGAGTCCCCCCGCCAGCCCCGGGATTGAGCGTGGGGCGTTTCGCCACTCTGACCCTGCGGGACCCCCGCGGGCCCCCCGAGAAGGAGCACAAACGTTACCACAGCCTGGGCAACATCAGCCGCGGAGGGGGCAACAACGCGGAGAAGCCCCCCGGGGGTGGCACGGGGGGCTCTCGGGGGTCTCTGGACATGGCCAAGGTGTTGGGCACGGCGCTGTGCCCGCGCCTGCACGAGGTGCCCCTGCTCGAGCCGCTGGTGTGCAAGAAAATCGCGCAGGAGAGGCTGACGGTGCTGCTGTTCCTGGAGGATTGCATCGTGACAGCGTGCCAGGAGGGGCTCATCTGCACCTGGGC